CCGTCTGTGGGGACCCGTCAAAAAGTCAAGCGGAGTTCCGACTGAAAAAATTGGAAAACCTCCTTCTCCTCTACCGGTCGCCGCCACCGCCGGCCACCACCTCCGCCGCCGGCCGCCGGAAAACGTGCTCCGATCGGAGAATCGTTTACATCATCGGATAGATCTCCTCGAGGTGAATCTACCCTTAAAATTTCACGCAAAAATTCAATCGGGAAGGTCTTCAATTTCGTGGTCAAAGTTTTCAGATCTAAGAAATTTTGGTCAACTCCCGGCATTCAAGAGCATTTTCTCGACGATCCGGGAGGACTATGAAAAATCCGAGGGTACCACTGGAATCCTCTCGGCGAGACGAATCCCCAGGTACCGACCTTCGCCGGAAACCGCCACCCCCGCCGCCGTCCGCCGCCGCCTCCGCCGCCGGCCGCCGGTCATATTCGTCCGATCTAAAAAGTTCTTACACCATCGCGAAGCTCTCCTCATGCTCGTTCTACCCTTAAATTTTCAAACGAAAATTCCGATGAGAAGGTCGTCGATTTGCCGGTCAAAATATCTAGATCTAGAAGAGAGGTTGGTCAACTCCGGTCATCTTCACCATTTTGCTATCGATAATCGGCGAATCACCTCAATCCGAGGGTACCACCGGATTCTACTCACCGGGGCGCAGACGTAGGTGGTTATCTTCGTCGGAGCTGGCGAATCTTTCCGGCAGAATCTTTTCGGCAAGAAGCCGCCGCTGTACTCGCAACTCGGCCTGGAGGGAGTCTGTTCCCAGTGCGCAGCCCACCAACTGAGCTCCCAGCGGCCCAGATCCGGTCCAGGTGCATAGAGGCCCAGTCAGCAGCCCAAGAGAGGAGGATGGGAAGCGGCCCAAAGTTGTGTGTGCGGCCCAATTCTTGCCCGAAGCCCAGCGAAGAGGGGAAGGAAAATCACGCGGGCCGCCTCCAGCCCGCGCTGCCCGCTCTCCACACAGTTGTTGGCCCGCGCCCAGCCCGAAGAGCAGCCAGCTAGCTTGATGCCATCCTTTCCGGCCCAATGCGAGTTTTTGAGGCCCAATGCATCCAGCCCTGGCCCAGAACTCCCTTGTGCGGTTCTAGTGGCCCAAATGCCCCAGATGTGGCCCAAAAACAGCCAGAATTGTCCAATAGCTCTATTTTGTGCCCAAAATTAATTCCGGATGATTAAACACGGACGGTAAGATAATTTGGGATATTATTCTCGCAACGGAGGTACGTGATTAGTTTACATTTGGAGACTCGAGGATTTTTGAATTGATGAAAATGAGATAAAGTGCTTTATTTAAATTGAACAAATTGGAGACTTGATGATTCAAATCGGTGAGAATTGGAGATATTTGATTGCTCGAGATATTATTTGATTTTTTCGTGGAGAAATGTGATTTGTTCGAGAAGATATAGTTAGATTTGATCGTGGAGATAGTTGTTTTGTTCGAGGAGATATTATTTATTTTGTTTAAAGGAGGTGTTACGTGGAGAATTCGTGGATAATTATATGATTTATGCATGGAGGATTATTTGATTTGTTCAAGCGATTATTTGATTCGTGGGTGGAATTATATGAATTATTCGAGGAGGCTATTTGATATATTCGTAAGGATTATTTGACTAATTTGTGGAGCATTATTTGATTTGATCGAGGATACAAATTTTAATCAATTCATGAGGACTTGTTGATTTATCCGTGAAAATTATTTGACTTATTTGAGGCAGTTATATGATCTGTTCGAAGTGATATTTGATTATTTGAGGAGATATTATTTCGTTCGAGGTGATTATTTGACTTATTCGAGGGAATATTTGATGTATTGATGGAAGACTATTTGACTTGATCGAGCAAGATTATGCAGTTTACTTGTGAATCATGTGATATGTTTGTAGATACATTCAATATGTTCGAGGAGAATTCTTTGATACATTTGTCAAAATTATTTGATTTGCTCGAGTGATTATCGGATTTATTCGTGGATGATTGCTTGACTTAATCGATGTGATTATTTGATTTATTCGAGGAATATATTTGACTTATGCGTGGAGGATTATCTGATTTGCTCGAATGATTATCGGATTTATTCGTGAATGATTGCTTGACTTAATTGAGGTGATTATTTTATTTATTCGAGGAATATATTTGACTTATGCGCGGAGGATTATCTGATTTGCTTGAATGATTATCGAATTTATTTGTGGATTATGTAATTTGCTTGAGCGATTATGCGATTTATTCATGGACATATTTGAATTTCTGTCGAGGAAATGACGAAATAATCCAAGTCTCGACAAGCTATGGCGGACGAGCTGTTGAGTGTCGAGAACAAAATGAACAAGCGTGGATCCATCTAAGGAGGGTGACAAGCAGGGACAAGCCTAGATGATGCCGATCACCGGTGGCGATTTCAAAAGGAACGGGTAGAAATAATGCTCTTTTGGAAAGGTAAGACAATTTGGAGCGGTATTCTCGACCTTCAGGTACAAAGCTATTCTCGACTCTTGTTCGGTGGTCGTGTTTAATCGACAGGGATTTATGGTCATTCTTTGTGTACTCTGGACAAACTGTTGAGGAGATTGTGATGCATATCGACATGGTTGAGATTATTATTTGAATGACTAACAAAATGATTGGGTGTTATTATATCTTGTCATATTCGATGTTTTCCTTTTCGACCTCAGTGGCAGGTCGAAGAATTCGAGCACGCGTTATCATGCACAA